CAGGATTTTCCTCTTGTTTATGGCCAATAAGTCCACAAAAAAGACGATAAATGGATTTACGCAATTATGATCAGCCAAAGCATTGCACGTGAAGACCCTTTGTGTCACATTTCATGTCCACAAGAGCAAAAGCTCCAACTCCCTTTTTCTCTAAATATGTTTTGTTGATTGGGTTACAAGGCGTCTCTTTGATGGAGAGACATTTGATGATCACTAGTATGGAATATAACTTAACTATAGGTTTCAGATTCCATATCTGAAAACCTTGTTCTAGTTCTTTTGTTTTACTACCATCTGTTTTATATTTAGACCTATGAATTATTTCTCAAAACAAGACATAGCATGACTTGAAGAATGGAAGTATCTATGGGCAACAACTGAGATGGACGATTGATCTCTCTTTCTCGCCGTTTCAACATTGCCAGCGCTAAAAGAGGAACTAGAATATCTAAAATAAACCAAGCCACCATCAAGCAAGGTAGTTGGTTTGAATAACTCGAGGATCCGAGAGAGGTACCTTTGAGAGTTAACAGCATCCTTAAATTATTCACTCTTTAACTCCTAATCTCGGAAAATGTGGGCTCCAATACACATGGCGTGGCGTGATCTAATGTATTTTAAGATTATCTATTTTTAGCATGGAGATATTAAAAAGCACGCTAAGAGCAGGACACTTGGAAACTATCAACATATTACAGCTCAACCTGATGTGTTTTGAATCAAGGAAAACAGAAACCATCGGGCGCAAAGAAAATAAACATAAAACCAATATATCACTATGACGAAGTTATCTGTGAAGAATTAGCAAAAGGAGATTTCGCAAACCACCTAATCGCACTTGAACTTTTCGTCTGAGAACCCTATATTCAGAAACTATCATATCTATCTACACAATCCTCTCTAAATAGGGATAAATTACATTCACATCGCACATCAAACCAAATCTAGTCAGAAGAGTAGAAATGAAATTAAGGAAGGAAGACCTACTGTGGCCATTATCAACGAGGTAGTTGAAGGTGTGACCATCACAGTTGTAAGTGAACTTGTTGTTGGTAGCTGGAAGCTTCTGGAGGCACTGAAAGGCGATGGAATTGAAGTTGCCACTGAATTCGGTGTATTCGGCAAGAATCAGAGTTCCTCGAGAAACGAAGGCATAGATCAGAGGCTTCTGGCTCATCTTGTCGTCTCTGAATAGCTTGCAAGGGATCCGAAAGAGAGATCGATCGGAGATCAGATTTGTTGGTGAAACAGTTCTTGTGTTGTAAGGAGACGAGTCTTTATCTCCTCCGGCCTTGCTTCTTTTCTTGCCTGGGGGAAGTGGAAAGTAAAAGAGAAAGGAGGGGTTTAATTCGCAAGTTTGAAAATTTTTCCATTTCCAAGGCTTTGTGGTTTTAGCGACAAGTGATTTTACCAAGGCAATTTTGGCCCCAAAAAAAAAAAAGAAAAAACAAAAGAAAGAAACCGAAGCAATAATAGTGATGCATCATTTACTACAGTGAAAAGTACAGCTTAATTGTCTAACTTCATATAAAATTTTAATTTAGGACATTAATAAGCAAATATTGATTTTTTTCCGAACACAAAATTCATAGATATTGAATTTATAATTTAATTCTGACAAAATATTCATGAGTAATGATATATTCATTTTAATTTAAAATATAAAAATAAGTGGATGAAAGATCATTTCTATTATCATTTAAAATATAGCATCTCATTAATAGAACAAGCGTTACAATTCAATTAAATGACTAAAAACTAAAAAGATACTCCCTCTTTTTTATTATAAATTTTAAATAACTAATTTATGAATAATAAATAATTAATTAAAAATAATTAAAAATAATTAATATATTAAAAATATATTTTTGTTTCTAAACATGTTGTAATAAATGAAAAAAGGTATGAAATAGAATGTGTGAAAAAAATGATAAAAGAGATTACGACCAAAGAGAGAGAAAAATAATTAAGGATAAAATTAACAAAAATTAAATGTTAAGACAAACACTAAATTAAAGTTTATAAAATGGATCATACTCCTTCTCAATTTTAAAACTTATAAATAGAATCGATAGAAGTACACTTCACGATTAAATTAAAACTTGCATAGATTTTATTTTATTTCTTGAATGATATATAGATTGTAATCTATCCAAATGACTATGCATTATTTTAATATTTTAAAGATTACATTTTGCGAAATTTGTTGAAAATGTTCTTGTTACAAAATTTACTGCTTAAAAGTATTTTAAGGACTCGAATGCTTGAACAATTACAGCCCATTTTCGGCAGACTAATTCTTCTTCAACCATTTGTGTATGTCTTCTTTTACATGCAATTCCTTTTTTTTTTTTGCCTAAATTCTTTTACATGTAATTCAAGGTATGTTACTTGTAACATAAGAAGAGTTGATTCTATTGAGAATAATATTTGTTCTTGAAAGTCTTCGCTTCATTCCGTGTAGAAGCAAACTCTCCAAATTTATGACCAACTTTCCTTCAGTGATCTTACAAAGCAATAACATATACTACTTTCAGTTCTAATTATAAGACCCGTTTATAGTCTATAAACAGCGTTTTATAATTAAAATCAGGGGTAGTAATTTATTGATACATGACAAATGATGCAAGTTAAGGGATTGGAATGAATTGGCATAAATTATAATTTTTTTTAAATCAATACATAAATAATGATTTATACACATTCAGAATCCAAGAGAGAGCTGCTTGAAGACTGCTATAAGAACTCATCTCACCGGAGAAAATAAAGTATTTATCCCGCATAATAAAATGTAATGCACATGTATTCATATTTTACTTTAATTTTGATCAAGGTTGTTGTAATTTATTTTATTTGAAGTGGGGTTTTTTTTTTTGGCCATCTATTTGAAGTGGGTTCTCATTGTTTTATCCTACACTTTTAATTTACAAACTGAATAAAAATGAAATTTCACAAAGCATAAATTATGGAGTTAATGCATGTATCTCGTCAAATTATGATGAATGAATTAAACAAAATAAATGGTAGAACTTAATTTAAAATGGGGGTAAATTACCCAAGACGTGCGGATTAATTTTATCGATAAAAGCGTTTGTCCAAAATCTTTTCTAATCATCAGAGGGCGGTCAAACGGCAGGAGAGGGAGAATAAGGCCGAACGACAGATCAGCGAGCGAGCGAGGCTGCGATTACCAGACGGCGGGATGGAGAGAGTATTGCAACGAGCTGCGAGACCGATGAGGAAAGGAGATGGGGCGAATATTTTAGAATAAGACCGAGGGTAGTTTTGTTATTATAATAAACCCTTTGTATACATACCTCTTAATGGGTGTATTTGGATTGAGGTGTCAAAACTGATTTCTATTCTAACTAGTTCTTGTAAACTAAAGTTACAGTAAAAGTTAATCAGTTTAATATAATTTATGTTTGAATAAGTGTTTATACAAAATCAGTTGAAAAAGTTAAAAGTTGTTTGGATGATTAATAGAAAAGTAAATGTAGTTGTAAAATGACTGAAAATGGTATAAACTTTATTGAATAGTAGTGTTTGATATTTTATGTTTTTAATGTGATAATAGTTTAAAAAACCTAAAATTATTATGATAAAATAAAAATAGTTTATTTGTGAAATTATAAAATAAAAATATTTGTTATTGAAAAAAATTTGAAAGCACATTGTAGATAATTAATTAAACATATATAATGAACAAACATGAATAAAAATTAAAATTCATTCGATCTTTAATTAAAATAAATAAAATCACATAACTAATTAGCTCGTAAGCTTTGTATAATTTGCTTTTTAATGAAGTCACGAACACGATTCATTTGTGCAGCAGATGTTAAATTTGATGAGGATGTTTTATTACAATTAGATCGTAAGTTTTGCACAATTTGATCTCTAGTTCATTAACACGCAGGAAATGAAGCCATATAACCATATCCTTTGATTAATTTAAAGCCATAACAGAATCAAGCATTACATTTGGTAACTGTTCTATATAACCAGATCCACAAATCACACATGCAATTAGGAAAAACCATACTCAAACGGCTAGATCGACAAATCAGACAGCCAGAAGGGAAATTGATCAATTGAAGAACAAAGGTCCAGATCTATTTAACTATGTACCTATATTCTAACACTATAGAGCACACCACGATTGAGCAATGTTGAAGAATCAGGAAGATCGGCAGCCATGCTAACAGAAGAAGAGAAAGGGAGGAGAACACCGATCTGGATTGGATAAAGGGAGTTGACGCAGATTGAACGAACTACATGCCATGCTGACGGAAGAAGAAAAGGAGCCCTTTTTCAAGTGTGCCAGCTGCAAGAAGACCCAAAGTGTAGGCGACAGTGATAGAGGGAGAAGAGCAGCTGGAGGGAAGAAGAGAAAGGGAGATATGTTTTTGACATGTGTTGCGGTGACAATGACGGGGGGAGAAGAGTTGGCAAGAGCAACGGACGGAGAAGTGCCGACGAGAGTGACGAACAGAGAGGACCTGGCGAGAGTGAGAGAGGGAGAACAGCGGCCTAATGTAATGCTTTCTGTTCTGAGGGAGAGCAGCACGAGAACATTGAAGAGGATAAGAGCATGGTCAAAACTAAAGAGGAAAATGTGAGGGGTAAATTTGATAGGTATAAATTTCAATGCCCATTTAATGCAATTTAACAGTAGATTGCATTTTCAAACTGTCGAGAAGTTACTTTGCCCATCATGGGAGCTAAATGCCATTTTCCCCCATAAATTTGTTAGTGTAGAAGCCCATCTAAACAACTAATTATACCCAAATAAACCACAAACCTAAGTTTCACATTTTTCCACGTGTTTTTACCATCACAATCGCCAATCCAAACGTGGCCAATATATCATTGGTCCATTTTCTTTTGCTTACCCTACCTGCTGGACATCCGAAGTCCGACCCGATTGTGTTCTATTTCTTTCTAGCGCCTTCTTCCAACGGTTTCATATGCAGCTCGGGACGTAAGGCATCATCTGCAACTCTCTTGAAGCTACTTTCCATTTTAGTATTGGTGCGTTATTCCATTAAAGCCTTCAAACACAAGCACTGTGTACGCAAACGTTCGGAAGTGTGTTACCTCTAAGAAACAAAAGGAAGCTCTGAAGGGATTCCAAGTCTGCAATTTGAAGTCATGGAAGGCAATGATGGAAATAAAGAGCAGATTGTTGATGTTCGGTCGGTGGTTGAAGCTGTTTCTGTAGAAGATGGAGACGTCCCTGTGTACCAGGTTGAAAGCCTGTGCATGCGCTGCGGTGAAAATGTATGGTATCTCACCCTTTAGTTTCCAACAGACGTTGAAAAATTTAGTTTTGGGATCTTTTTCAAAGAAGACCGAGTTTACGAATTTCATTGGGTTTCACTAGTCTTGCCTTTCTCCTGGTTTTATGAATTGGTGTATGTATATCTCATCCGTTCCTAAAGAACATTCTTTAACATGTGATTTAAATTTCAAACTGGTTTTGTTCTCGTTTCACTCTATGTTTGCTTAAACCAGTGCTCTCTCTTTTGATCGCGGTGACTTGATATGTTCGACTGATCAGGACACGTCTCTTGTATGTTATGAGTTTATTATTTATCCATGGATATTGGAATTCGGGTTTTTATACCGTATGCTACTTTTTTCGTGACTTCGAGCTAGTTACATTCTTCTCTTATGGAGTACTATTGAATATTGAATTGACTAATGTCGGACTTGGAAAAGATAGTCATTGGACCTCGATTAGGCTCAAAGGGGATATAAATGATGCATTTAACGATTCTGCTATCAGCTCTGGAAACTCTCTTTAGAATCTTATTTTCTTGCTTCATTCAATGTTTTAATTTTAATTGTCGTCTGACCTGAAATTGTATTGTGTCTGTCAGGGGACGACAAGATTTTTACTGACTTTAATTCCGCACTTCAGAAAGGTATATTCTTTCTTCATGGTCCCTTATACTGTTTTAATGGATCATTGTTGTGTTTTACTCGCAGGCTTGAATTTTATTTTTATATATTTATATAATTCCATGAAATAGATCAGTCTTATGAAATATGGTTATTTTCTGTCTCTTATTCCTATCACTTTGTCCACTAGTTTTCTGACCATCAAATGTACTGCAAAATTTGCATTTTGCGCAGATTTTGCTGTCAGCTTTTGAATGTCCTCATTGTGGTGAGAGGTAAGCTGCACCCTCCTCTACAAAATGTGAGGATTTTGAATATAAATATCCTTCTTGATCTTCTTGATTAGCTATTATAAACCAACGCATGTTTATTGAATAGGAACAATGAAGTACAGTTTGCAGGAGAAATCCAACCACGTGGTTGCTGCTACAGTTTGGAGATCCCACCAGGCAATCCGAAGGTAGGATCAATTGGACTTGTTAACCAAATCATTTGAAATATTACCGTTTTCTTTTGCTTATTGATTGATTTAAGCAAATTTATGTAGCTGCAACTAGACCCTGATGTATTAAACTTGGTATTATAGTCTAGTAATGGACAGGGAGAGCAGATTTACTTCTTTTCTTTTCTTTTCTTTTTTTTTGGGGGGGGGGGGAGGGGAATGTGGAATGTTTTAATTCTTGGTTGATCTTGACTAATCAATATTACACCAAATGATTTGAAATATTTCCATTTTCTTTTGCTTATTGAAACTGCTTTCATAGCTCAGTTGGGTAGAGCACCCGTTTAGTAAGCGGGAGGTCTTGAGTTCGATTCTCAATGAAAGCAACTGGAGAATTCTTTTTTTAACTCCAGTATGTTTTATAGCCGGACCCAAGCTCGGATAAAGGAGGAGGGTTGTGTTAGGCCCTTGATAGTTAACGTAACTATGTTGAATTTTTTTATGACATGGATCAGCAAAGAAATTTGTTAATGCTTGGTCATTGCCCAAAAGTAACACGTTGTATGACTTGAGTATAGTGAGAAATGAGTGAGAGCTATTGCATCATTGCTCGAGTATAATGTTAAATGAGCAAAGGGCTACTATAGGCAGCTAAAGAAGTTAGTTCATGAGAACATTATTAGATTTATTACTTTGAATATTGGGACCTTGTCTGGAAAATCTAGGGAAGTGGTGGGAATAATGGAATAGAGAAAAATTAACACTTTGTGCCTCTAAAACTAAGTGTGTTGGAGAAAATTCTTGAAAAATTGCTGATTTCATACTTTCGTACTTGGGAAAAGTACAAGAAATGTTGTTGGTGTCATTGTTGATGACGAGTGGATGAAGAATGTGGTAGAAGTTAAAAGGATTAAGGATATAATCATATCTTTAAGAATAATTGCTGGAAATGATATTATCAACATTGTTAGTGCTTATGTACCCCAAATAGGGGCAGAAGCACATCTCAGAGAAAAGTTTTGGGAAGACATAGAGGGGTTGGTCCAAGGCATACCACTTGACGAGAAGATATTTATTGTTCGGGACCTTAATGGGCATGTTGGTAAGGGGGTGGGGAAGCATATGGGGGCTCATGGTGGTTTTGGTTTTGGAGAACTCAATAATGAAAGCCAATCAACCCAACCTATTATTGATTTTTCCCGAACGTACAATCCCAAGATTATCAACTCCTATAGACCATTACTATGCAGATTGTTGTATGATTTTTACTAGGAAGACATTGCCTTCTTTTGGCTGCTATAATGTCTAAGGCTTTGTGATGACCTAATGTGCTTTGAAAGTTTTTTCAGTGATTTATCCTATTTCACTTCTACAAAATGCATTATTAGTTTTATGCACTTTTATAATGGCTTCATTTAGATAGTTGCTCTGCCTCCGTCCTTGCTGCTTGTGGCTTTTTGTGGCCTTAGCCCTTTAGGCTGCATTTTGTAGTTCACACCAGTGCAGCTGACATGGGTGGCGCTTTCTTTACATTTCTTCAAGAAAGAATAATTGTCATACTAGTTGAAAGAATGATGCGATCTTATCTCTCTTTTCCGTTCAGCTTTTGGTGACATGAATTGAAAGAATGATGCGATCTTATCTCTCTTTTCCGTTCAGCTTTTGGTGACATGAATGTCAAATACTAAGCATGAACAGGAACAGGAAGCAACAAGGGTGATATATAAACTGTAAATTAATAATTATAGGTTAGTTGTGAGTGAGTTGGTTAGTATTGGGGTCATAGGGATTAATAGTCTATATAAGGGATCGTAGGAGGAAATTCAGAACTATGCCTAATAGAATTTCAGTTTTGCGGTCTGCCTTGTCTCTCTCTCTCTCTCTACACACACACACACACACACACACTCTCACACTACCACTCTGCAACAAAGACATTTTGGGAAATCAACAATGAACATGTTTGAAATGTAATGGAATTAATAGCCCATGATTAAACGTAAACACTTTGTGAGAAGACAAAGGAAAGAGTGTGGAAAATGAAATTCATTGTGCGGATCACACCTTGGGGGAATTGATACGAAACAGGACATTTAAGACATTGGGATTACCAAGCAGCGCGCAGCATTATAACAAATGAATTACCAATGTATGCTTGCACAGGATGCTTGTGTTGCTTATCTTGGTCAACAAATGTACTCTTAATTTCTTTTGTCTTTTTTGCTGCCTTATATTGTCATTTTGATGAGTTTTGATGAATGCAGATGCTAGATCGACAAGTGGTAAAATCAGAATCTGCTACTATTAAGGTACTTGACTGTTTCTGTTTATGCACTTATGTCCATAGTGGCATTTCATTGTAAGTTACAATTAAGCAATATCTTTGTTTCTATATTTGAAATTCTATTTGCATTCTTTATCTAATGGGCTGCTTATGATGTATGAAGATACCAGAGTTGGATTTTGAGATACCTCCTGAGGCTCAACGTGGAACTCTTTCAACGGTATTTCTTTCAAATACTTTACTTCCCTTGTTCTGTTCTCAATCATTGTGTAGAAAGTGGCTTCCTGTTCTTCATTTTTTCCCCTATGTCATGTACTCTTGTATATTTCGTTTCTTGTATAAATAAACAACCTTATTCAATCCTTTTATTTGTCATGTGTACATATCTCAGCTCATATAGAATTAAAAATTATCTGATATCAATAACTTTTATTGATCTGTTAGTCATAAGGGGCAAATAAACATGTAATTTCTTAGCTTAAAAATATTTCAAATATAAATTTAAGGATGATTATGTACTACAATTTATTGCAGCGTTGATTAGAACTTAGAACCAAGAATTTCTGATTGATTTATGTAGGTTGGTCTCTTCACCCAAAACTTGAATAGTTCTCCCCTTTATGACACTCATTATATATGGCCCCAAGTGTAATTTGTGCGCCTGCACATGTGTAAGGGATCAGTTTAAAGTTTGGCACTTTTACCCCTCTATTTAATTTGCGTTGGAATAGGACTTTCATTGATTGAATCATTGGATTAGAATTATAATTACTACATTGATTTTTCATGTCAAATTTATAAATAATTGAATGATTATAGGCGAGCACGCAGACAGTTAATTCATATCTTCGAAATATATCATGTACCTTAAATTTTTTTTATTTTTATTGGCTGTTAGGGTATAACAATGTTGAGAAAACCAGACCTACTATTGAACCGGTTGATGCACTGGCTAACGATTCAATTGTTAGAGCGTGATCTAAATGGTGGTCGAACCAGTCATGAATAAATTGACGTATTTTAAATAATATATGCTTAAAATAAAAAGAAATAATTATATATAATAATAAAAATGAATGTTCAAACCTCAAAGAAAGTAATATATAATAAAAAAAAGATAATATCTATCAATATTCCATTGTCTACATCCAAAATATGTATGTAGTTATTTCTTGATTTATAGCTTTTAATTCTAGAATACATGCATGCATGCATATTTCTTGCATATTTGTTCATTTTTCTTGATTTTAAAATGCTTATTAGGTATAGATATGTATAAATTGTAGTTTAGAAATATAGAATAAAATTTTAAAAAATATTTCTTTTCCTTAAATGTGACGAGTTCAACTAGTTCAACCTCCGGTTTTGGCCGGTTTGAGGCCAATTCTGCCGGCTGACCAGTTTTTTGGTTGGTTTCCTCTCATGATTGGACTGGATCTGAGACTGGTTCTTGGTTGAACTGGTTGATTTGGTCTGGTTCTCACAACACCTGGGTATAGAACTACTGAGAATGGATTGTTAAATTTTGTGAGGAATTGAGGATAATCTTCACTATAATAACTAATAATCTAATGCTGGATTTTGTTAAACAATTATCTTATAAAATGTTTTTTGAATGTGTAAGATTAATTTTGATTGATGCTGGCATCAATTGATCCCTCCTCATATATCCAAATTTAAGTCGTGCGTGGTTGAATGTTTGGTGTGATGTGAATTGAGAAAATAATCTTTGCTGTAACTATAGGTGGAAGGTATACTAGTACGAGCTGCTGATGAACTTCAGGCCCTTCAAGATGAGCGCAAAGTAAATTTTGCTCTTACCTTGGTTTATTATTTGCTGGAGTGTAATTCCCTGTATGGTAATTGAATTTTATCTTTTAAAACTTGTAGAAAGTTGACCCACAGACGGCTGAAGCAATTGACCAGTTCTTGATGAAATTGAGAGCTTGCACGGCTGGAGAGCTTTCATTCACATTTATTCTTGATGACCCTGCTGGAAACAGCTTCATTGAAAATCCGTAAGAGATTATTTCTTGTTGGAGGGCTTTGTTGCTGTGACAAAGTGCTAAATTTTTAGGAAAGAAGTATTCTGGAGAGGAGGGTAGGGTGTGTCCTAAAGAGAAGATAACACAGCATAAAGAATGTCAATCAAGAAGTTTATTTGTTTCAAACCTACCCTTTAAGTGCTTAAAGAACAGTTGGATTGGACTGTTGTTTAAATTGTCCCGTTGCATCTTACATTTTCAAATGCACTATAAACAGTTGTATATGTGTAAGTTGAATAATTATAGCTGTTTCGTATTTAATTAGACGGAATAACTATGTGTGGATAGGTGTGCTCCATCATCTGATCCATCATTGAGTATCAAATTCTATGAGCGTACTCCTGAGCAGCAAGCATCATTAGGATATCTTGTTGACTCATCACAAATTGGAGCGGGTCATGCAGCAGTGGAAGAAGCTGGGGTTGCTGATCAAGGGAGGAGAGAACCACATGGGTCAATAGGGGCAGCTGCTGGTCATCGAGCCATTGCACAGAGTAATAGTGCTGAAATTGCAGAAGCCTTATTTAGATATACTGCCCCAGAAGAGGTGGGTGATGTTGAAGCTGAACTAAATATTACTTTAGTTTGATCCATTTTGTCTGTTTATTTTCTTTTTTGGGTGACAATTGCTTGTTTATGTTCAGCATCATGATAGTGCTTGCTTGTGACAGGTGATGACTTTCCCATCAACTTGTGGTGCTTGTGCTACTAGGTGCGAGACTCGAATGTTCGTCACTAGTATCCTTTCAATGTTTTCTATTTTACCCTCTGTTCCTGTCTTATGTTTTTGACATGTACTTTCTAAGGGGGATAATATAATTATGATAAGCCTTTATTCACCTGTACACACAGGAGGCCATGTATACGGCACAGTTAGCAGCAAAATTGTGCTGATTCAGCGATAAATGATTAGCACAAATTTTTTAGGGTCAGCTTAAGTGTTGCTAGAGTTTAGGAGAAGCCGGAGTCTGTTGTATTTGTTAAGTCCTTCTTTTGATCAATGCTTATTGGTTAAGTCAATTATCTCATTTTTGAGATATTTTCTACCTAAAATAAATAGCTTCAGGTTTGTTATTTCCTATTACCTGAGTCAGTTATTAGTGTGTCCGTTATTTTTGGAGTTAGGTGGATTTTTCTGCCTAATTTATACAGCTTATGGAAATCATCTTGATAATTAGTCTGAATTATTTCACTATTGGAATTAGTTCTCTTTTGAGTGAGATTCCTGCTCAAGAAAGACTAGCGGATTTTTTTTTCTGCTCTTACCTCTATTCTTCTCCTAGCCACCTATCAAAGTAAATATCATTTTTGTTATTTGATGCAATAATTGAGGTAAATAATTGATGAAAATCATGTCAAATAAGAAAATTCTTGGAATAATATTTGCAGTATATTTTAGTAAACGCAGGTATAGAGCTAGGCTGCCTATTCAATATCATTGTCGGGTTTCAGAGATTATTAAATTGTAGAAGAGGTGAACTTCTGTTTAAAAGATTGACTAGTATGCTGAGACGGAATAACTTTAAATTATTCAGCTGTGTTAGAGCCTGACATTTATGAAATCTTCAGTGAATCAATTATAATTTATTCTCAACACAGTCTGAATCAGCTTTGCATCTTGTCATATCAGCACTTTGTTGTGCTTAACGGCATTCAGAAATTCCATATTTCCAGGAAGTTATTGTTATGGCATCCACCTGTGATGCTTGTGGTTACCGCAACTCCGAGGTATATGCTGATTGAGTGATTTCTATTGTGTGATTATTTCTTTTGAGTCAGAGTAATTACTTTTTTTTATCATGCAGTTGAAACCTGGTGGACGGATTCCTGAAAAAGGAAAGAAGATTACTCTTACCGTGAAAAATGTTAAAGATTTAAGCCGTGATGTGATAAAGGTTTGTCATCTTTCCTATTTGAATCTTGATTAAATCTTAAAATATTAAGTTGGATAAGTTGATCTTCAACGTTGATTTAATCTTGTTTCTTGTTACTCCTTGTTCAATGGATCATGTGTTCTAGTCTCTGTGGATAATGACTATGGACTTGCAATAGCAATAATAGAAGGGCAACAAAGCATGGTTCTTGGATTTCTTATGCCACTGCATGCAATGGAAGGTTGCTATAAGAATCAATTACTGATATACCTTTGGTTAAAAATGATAAACCTATAAAGACACATGTCAAGTTGCTTTAACTTCCTCTTGTTTCGGCTCCCCCTCCCAGAGTAGATTAGTTGCTTTTTTGTTGTCTGACCATCTGCACATTTCTTTCCGGTTTGATTAGTCTGATACTGCTAGTGTAAAAGTTCCTGAACTCGACTTGGAGCTAGCAAGTGGCACTCTAGGAGGAATTGTTACGACTGTTGAAGGTCTAATCACAAAAATTAGTGAAAGTAAGTGCAGAAACTCTCTCCCGTGGAGTAAATACTTTTGGATATGAGACAATCATCAAGACCTACTGCCATCCATTATAGGAGTATTTGGCTTTGTAGATGTCTGGCTTTCACTGCAGTTGATTTCTTCTTCTTCCTTTCATCTATAAATTTATTGGTCTTTCCAGCTGATTTTACATGATACTATGATTTATTTTTTTAGGTTTGGCTTTAATTCACAGATCATTGTATGAATCCAATATGATTTGATGTGATTTTATGTACAGGCCTTGAGAGGGTGCATGGATTTACTTTTGGAGACAGTCTTGACGAAAATAGAAGGAGCAAATGGCTAGACTTCAGAGCAAGGCTAAAAAAGGTAACACCTGATTGTATGAGCAGTTCACATAATTTTCTCTTTTATGTGTCGAGGTCATAATAAAACTCTTGCGATTTTTCACTTTGTAGTTTAAGGGTGAGTTAAAATGGTAATGTAATGAACTAATGATGACGATGGGCCAGTCATGTCTCATTCACATGATGGATATGAGACAGAAGGCCACTCATGTCACGTTAACATTTTTGCTCACCGGTCCTTCCTTATAGTTAGTTTAGGTATTATTGAGAAATGCTCATGTGCAGGAAGATCACCTAACATTGGACTAAAATGGTTATTTGCAAAGCATGCTACTTATAGAGTTGCAAGACGTTGCATATAAGATGCCTCCTCTAACATTAATGCTTTATTAAGAAAAAGAAGTTATTGTACAATCTTGTCTTACTGACTATGGACACTTTCGTTTGACCTGGCCTTTTTAAAGCCTCTGTTTGGTGTGCTTTGAGCCCATTAATCTGATCTACTTCTGTTGATTTTATGAAGCTTCTTAGCTTGGAAGAACCGTGGACCTTAATTCTTGATGATGCATTATCCAATTCGTTCATAGCGCCAGCCACTGATGATCTAAAAGACGACAACCAATTGACATGTAAGTGTTCTTGAACAACCTCAGCTCATAAAGTTGTGGTAAATGCAGTTGAAATTGAAGTGATATAAACTTTCTTACAAGCAGTTTAACCGTGCAGTGAAGTAGTTTCAATGTCTTTTGTCATATACTCCTCCGATTCTTGACATAAGACCTATTTTATAATACAATTTGCACTATAAAATGGATATTATGTTTAGGGCCCAATGAGTAGTAATAACGGATAATGTCTTCATTGGCAATACTTATAAGTTCTTACAAGCAGTTAACTCATTGATATAATTTCTGCATGTCCTTTTAAAGGTTAGTAATCAGCATCAAGCTGTATGGTGGCCTGTATGTTGACTTTTTTGACCTTTTGCCAAAAGTGAGGCATTTTTCTTTTCTGCATAATTTTCTATGCTCGTGATTTTCATTTTTGGCAATTTTTATCAAAACATGAATTTGCAGTTGAGGAATACGAGAGGTCGTGGGAGCAAAATGAAGCATTGGGTCTGAATGATATTGACACCTCTTCTGCTGATGGAGCTTATGAAGCAGGAAATGATGCCAAAACTGAGTGACCACATTTTGTTTTACACTGCTTTCTGGGGGGAATGGAAGAATGTTTGTGATGGTGAGAGAGAAAAGGAAAAATGTGCGTTTGTGTTGGATAACAATCTGTATTTTTATTTATTTATTTATCCTTAATACCTCTTGTTGTAATGGCTTTTTGTTGTTAATTTGCATGCAACTTCTATAATCCCTATGGTATGGTTTTGGCATGAAGACGCAGTCTTTTCCTTGTGATCTTCTTTCCTAAATTTTTTTTTTTTTAATATTACTCCTTCCATCCTAAATGGGGAAATTACTTGGTTAGTTTGCATCCTAAATGTAAGATCTTAATCAATTTTATCTATCATATCTAGCATTTTTCAAGCTAATTTTTTTAATTTATAAAATGATATATAAACCAATATGATAGGGAGATTAAGTCATATTAAAATTAAATAATTTATTTAGCTTTTTAAATCTATTTTGCGTAGCTAAATGAGAATCTAAAGAGGGACATATTACGTTGGTCCCAAGGAAAAAAAAAAGAGAAAGAAAAGAAGGAAGCTTGTTTACACACACATATATATATGTATGTATATATCTATATTTGTGAACTCAACAAAACTTCCAAATGGGCAAATATTGTGATGTCCCGGCTGAGTATATAAATCTGCCTTGACTTGGGATTTTGGAGACGAAAGCTCATGATTGTACCGTCACTGTGCCACTTTTTCAGTTTAAAACATGTTGTAAACCAGAAAAAAAATTTGGCCATAAAGGACATTAACATTTTAATTCTGAATTATTGATTAAGTTTGGAACTTAAAAGCGCAGGGGGATTGAAAAATAGGGGCAAAAAGTGATAATTTCCAAAATCTTGATTATTTTTATTAAACAGATGAAAATATTTTTTTACCATTAAAGTGTTTTAGTTTCAATCAAAGAACATTTAGAAAGAGGGCATTATCATTAAATTACGGTGTTTTGTCACATTTATTTCTCAATTCTGGTGCTCACTCAGAGGTCACAAAAAAATTGAGGCCCTTTAAAGTTTAAAGGGTAAATAAAATTTTTGGCCTTTTAAATTTGTTCTTATTTTAATTTTGGTTTCTCAAGTTTTAAATCATAAGTTTTAGTCCCTCAAAAGATAAAATAATAATACAGGGACTAATATTATAAATGAAAAGAAACCTAAGAAATCAAAGTTTATAATTTGAAAGTTGAGGAACTAAAATAAAAATGATAGCAAACTTGAAAGACTAAAAATTATACTCCTCTAATCCTAAATACAGAACTCATTTTGTAGTGTGGGCTTAGGGGAGTATTAAGCAAGTTTAAATCTTAAAAATTTGTTTCAGTTAAAAAACAAAAAAAAAGTGGGAAAAAAAAGGGCCCATCTGCTAACTGCTGTAGGTAACTGCTGGACTCCACTGTTGGGAACGTCGGAGAGAAAGCGCGGGAACCAGAGGTTCGATGGCGGGTTGGTGACGGTGGATTATTGCCTGCAACGACGATGAACAACAGCGAATCCTTATCGGAAATGGAAAGGGGAGCCCTAGTTACCATAGATCTGAAGCGAGATGGTGTTCAGGATCTTACAGACCAACTTCATCACCTTCCCTGCTGCATCAAATCCACCGGTCCTGCCTCCGTTTCGCACTATTTCAAACCCAAGTCTACTGGTATTTCCCACTCTTGCTCCCACCATTGTGGTCAATTCTGCGTTTTTCTTGCTGATTGCGTTTTTCATGTCTTGGGGTAGGGATTGAAGTCGAGGGCTTACCGCTACAGGAAGCGTACTTCAGAGGCAGGAAGTTAGATGGAACAACGATCCTTCTCCCCAGTGGATATCGCGGTATGAAATCTTCTTTGTTTTAAAATTAAGAAATCTTTGCTACATTCCTAAGTATCCACAATCTACTTGTTTTAGCACTGTCTTTATACTGTATTCAGTTGCTGTTGGTCTTTCGAGGAATGGGTCAACTTTCTTTCTCTTATTGGAATTTCGACTCCCTAAAATCTGACTGAAAATTGCTGTTGACGTTTATATTATTTGTAGATTGACATCTCATTAAATAATTATAAGAACCAAAATATGCAGTTTTAATGATTGACATGAATTTGTCTTCCTGTACTTTATTAGTTGCATGCTCACTAGTCATTATAGGTGGGATTTCTCTGATATATATATATATATATATATATATATATTTTCTGAATATGGTTCTGCAGGCTTTGTATTAGGAAAGAAAAGCCAGGATGAGAAGAATTCATCTGCTGCTTCTTACTCTGAAAACTCAAATTCCTGGGAGATGAAGGCAACGTTTCAAAACATTACATACTGGAACCATGATTGCCTTCCTTCACAGAACGATGATTTCATGCGTGCTTTCCATTGGCTTACTATTGCAAAGGCTGTAAGTTTTTAGCTCAATTATTGGAATTGGGACTCCATTTTGATTCTTATATAAAAGGCTTTGTTTTTCTTGCAGATTATTCAATTTTATCTATGATAAATACATTGGGTTAAATGCTTGAAAATAGAGACGACAGATGCCTCTGATTCCTTGATGCATGAAAATCAATGTGGATATCGCTATTCAATTGGACAGAATATGTGGATTAATCTATTACTGTATTACATATTCTGATAGCAATAAAACACAATAGTTATACACGCAGATCTCGTTGCTGCCTGGGTATAAATTCCTTAGCGAAGAAACTCTATCATTATAATTTGAATTGTGATAAGGCGTTAGGACACACTGGTATTTTCTCTTCATTTTTGCCAACCAGATTATCAATCCATATCCAGTGCATGTTTGGGTTCACATTCGAAACCACCAAAACCATGATTCCCCCTTCTAATGTGAAACCAAAAACATTCAAATTGATGCAGTAGTTTTTATCTTGGGGCGAGACATTATACGTTTGGATGGGAATATGAGACTATTTGTACCATGTTCGCCGACTCCTCTCGTATGTGTCATCTATTCGTTTTCAATATATCCCCTGTTACTGATAATGTGTAAAATATGGAAGTTAAAATTGATTCAGCCAATTCTGAAAGACAATGAAAGTATAATATTTTGCTGCCCAAGTATCTAAACTTCACTATACGTTTGCCTGTAACTGCAGCTGCACACTCCTGTAACATCTGAGGATTTAGCTTCAACATCGTCCGCTCTCTAGAGACGCAGCTGGTCTGGTAGGAAGTGTTGTGAGCATATAAACTTTCTGCCTATCTATTGACGTAATTTATGGATATATGTAATCTTCAATGTTAGTTTGTTGGGACATTTTACTTTTATGTATCTGCATACCTATCTCCGTCAATAGTAAATTTCAGTTTCTTATCTTCTAGCTTGGAAAAATGATATAGGGTGCTTGCTGCTTAGTTAGCCATCATGTCTGGTCACTGTGCTTAAAATCTGCTTTGAGGTACTACCTACAGTTCTTAATTAAGATCTTATATCAAGGACCATAAGTAATATCTTAATTTTTTATGGCAATTTGCATGGTGGTAACTCCATTTCTTCATCTTTATCTTTGCCATATGCATGGGTGTGTCCGCACACTTTAGTTGGAAGGAGATCCAGCGTAGGGAGTGCCATGTGCATATTTGATGCAGACAATTCACATTTGATTTAGATGACTAACATTTCACAAAAAACATTTTTGAAGCCCAAACCGGGGTGTTGTCCAAAGAGTTACCAAACACCCGCATTTTATTGAAACCATAGTTTGGTTCACCTAAACCATGGTTTCATGTAAAGCAAACAAATTTTGCTTCTTGGAGGGTTAAAGCTGGTCCTTTTCTTTTCTACATTGTAATGGTACCTCTACATTGTAATAGTACCTCTAGTGCTTAATATAAGAGTTAGTTAATTAATTTGAGTGGATTAGGAAAATTAATTAAATTAGTTATTTATAATAAATATGTGTTGTCTTTTCTAAAATATCTTTACTAATTATGAGTATTAGCTAGAAGTATCATTTGATGAAATATTTAATAAGTGTAACTATTACAAGGACTACTTTTGGAAAAAATAGATAAATATGATAAACAAAGTGAATTGGGATTTTATATTTAGGATCAAATTGAATGTCAAACTAATTCTTATATTAAAAATTGGAAGTAATATGTTGTTAAAAAAAAAAAGAAACTAGTTACCTCACAATTATCATGACACTTGATTATTTAATCTTTTACTTTATACACACACCAATTATGAATTAGTTATATAATTAATAAATTGTTTTCATATATGTTTATTCAATTTTATAAAAAAAAATATTATGAGATTTCATGTTTAAAATCTTTAGGGTAAAAATGATATTTTTTTTGTTGGCAAAAAATAATCATTTTTCTAAAAACATATTTAATCTTGTATGTTATAAAAATATATACATATTAATTATTAATTAATTAGATTTTTTATATATTATTCATTACTTTGAAAAAATATATTATTAACAAATTTATTACTTCAAATAAAAATATAAATATAAATATATCTTTATGTAATCATCATATTATATTAACTTATTTTTTTTTTAGCAATTTGCACATGAAAAAGTTTTTCTGATAACAACTATTTAAATAATCTCACTTGATCAAAATTATTTTTTTTTACAAAATCTATTTTTAAAATAACTTTTGTCTTAGAAGCTGTTTTTCAAAAAGTGGTTTGATTTTATTCAAACACCCCTTAAGTCTATGACATTTCAAAATGTAAATTTAATCTTTAACTTTTTTTTAAATATTATGGATTTTTTTTATAATTAACTGGCCGTTATTTTGTTGACAGAAATTACCACGTCAAATTAATAAAAGATAACTTATATACACAGCATTTTTTTGGAAGTTTAGAGCAGTTTTATAAAATTTCAGGAAGGTTATATGTAACTTATTTAAAATTTATGGGAGTTTCATAAAATCATACCCAAATCAAATTTAGATAATCCAAATATGACTTGGACAGCTGAAAAAAAGATATATAATCGATCAATTTAAACTGTCTCTAATCTCTCAAATGAATGTGTACAACCAAACAATGTCCCATCTGTACGAATATGTGTACACTCACAAAAACACGCATGTCTGTACAAACGTGCACTGAGGCTCTGCTTCTTGGAAACAAGTCGGCAAAGAAAATTCAGTCATATTTTTGGAATAGCTGCTTCTGCGAAGAAAACACGTACGCGCACTTTGAACTACTTGCTAATAAAGCAGCAGAGAAAAAGCACTGTTGCTTCTGGAATAAATGCTTCTACGAGTAAACTGTTTATGTCACTCTTTATCTTCTGCCCGTTGGTTAAAAAGCAGAGAGAATCTTATCAAATGCCAACTCAGAATCCTTGATCTTTCGTGTTACACGGTTTCAGCTTTGAACTTTTCACATTTCTTGTTTTATAATACCATTATTAATAATACTCCTTTCGATACTAAACGTAAGAACTAATTCAATTAAGAGGTTGGTTTTGATTCTAAATATAATATCGTAATATATTTGGCCTTGCAACTTTATAATTCTTTTATCAGATAATCCTATAAATTGCACATACTAAAGAGTTTTCTCCTCCATGAGAATAATCTCTAATGCAAATCATTAAAGTAGGTAATTTTCTTGATCTATGTACCTGTTATCTAACTCTTATACTCGGGATTAGATTAGAGTGAGTGTTATCTAAGAAAACTAAACTCCTTAACAATACCAAAGTGAAGGGAATGTTAAAGGCACTCACAAGCAGCTTTACAGTTGCCTCCTTCAAGACTATATGTTCGAACACAAACAAAAGCAAAAGCTAAAGAAGATATAAGAGCATTTAGATTCTTATTGATCCATGGAAAGCTGACAAGTGAGTGATTTCTTCCCACTTTACGCTATCTAGACTGCCAATGCAATTCTTTTCACATTGCCTCACATATATATTTATAAACTTGAAGATTTCTGGTGGGTAACAAACATTGGAGTTTATCCATTTGATGCAAATCTCACATTACATCCTTTGTAAGAAAATATGTCTTCTGATCACCACACTGTTAGTCATGCCCATTGGAAGGGAGTAAGTGCCTTTCTTCGCTGTCTATCTCTTGTTCTTATCTTCCTCTTATCGATCTGTAATGTGGTTATCTGTTCAAGTGCTTATTTTATATATTATTATTGGATTAAATGTTATATTATAATTATTAGTCAGACCAGACCAGTTTAAAGTTTCAATTTTTCCAATATATCATACACAAAAAACACTTTTAATTAAGGGTTTGAGTGTGATGGTTTAGGGTTTAGGCACAGGAAAAAAAAAACCAAAGAAAATGTTCAATAAGGTTATTGAACAGAATTTTTTTTAATTAACTGTCTATCTAAGGCTTTGATTGCTAATAGAGTATAATAATATCGTGTAATTCGTATAACTGACCCATAAAGCTCGTTGTTATTGATGTTTTGTGTGATAGTTACATTTGGTTTGATAAATAACATGACAAATACTTATTTGCAATTGAAAATGATAGGCTGTTGAGCTCAGTAAGAAGCTAATTATTCATTACAAATTGTAATCTTCCAAGAATCTCCGCCGGAGAGGCTCTTGATGGCTTGAAGAATTCCCATTAATTATTGAATTCTGTATTAATGTGTGTATGATGAAGCTCAATTGCTGTTTTGTTTGATGATTTTAAGGATGCAAGTGTTGGTAAAGAGCCAGAAACAGGGACAATTATAGTTCCTGTGAGAGCTCTAAACATCATCTGGGGCAACGATAGTCGTTTTTGGCGGTTCCAGGACCTTCCAAGGGATGAAACTATGTAAGATTCACATCACATCCCGGGGGGGGGGGGATACATCATGATTATATATAGTACGATGCTAGAATTTCGTATAGTTAATAAGAGCAATATTGAAAATTATTTGAATTTTATAACAAATTTAACACTTTTAACTGTTTTTAAATTGGTTATTAGTGTGTTCTTATAATAATAACCAGGGAGAGTATTTAACTAGTTTGAGTAAATCAATGAAGTTAGATAAATTAATTAGTTAATTATAACAAATGTGGTATGATTTTACCAAAATAATCATGTATAACATTACATTATATATCATTTTTATAAGTTAGGTAAATCAGTTTGGGCAAAAATAATAAGATACAGGAGACAAAATAGACAGAGATCTTATATTTAGAACCAAATATAACCGTCTAACTAGCTTTTATATTAGGAACCGGAAAAGGTACTATATATACATAACTAAACATATTTTTGGTCTGGGATTTTGAAGGATGATAGGGTTGAAGGAAAGTGCATGGCTGGTTCAAGTGAATTGGATAGAGGTGACAGGGAAAGTGCGAAAGTCTGACCTGCACAAGGAGCCTGGCTCAGTCACAAAATATGGTATCTTTTACATCATCAAGTTCAGGGCTGATGCATTTGGGTGGCACTCTGTTCCTATAAAGTTCAAATTCAGACTCACCACCACGTCTGCAAAACAACAACCACAACCACACTACCACAGCACAGATGATAATCTCACCATTGATAAAGAAGATGAGAAGAGCATCATTCTGGAACCCTACAGAGAGAAGCAAGAGGTGTGGCATGAAATCCCAGCAGGCCAATTCTCTGTCTCTAACTCTGATGGCTTTCTTGAGTTTGGTATGTTTGAAGTTGACAGTGCTTGGTGGAAGGGCAATATGGTCCTTGCAGGTGTCAAGATCAAGCCCATATAAGCCTAATCATTACATTATCTATCATTAACTACCATTCTCTCAATGTTTATTCCTGTAATTATAAGTGACAAGAATGTGGTCTGGTTCAATCTGCACACTGGTTTCACAATCCTCTAGCTGTGCTGAGGTTGTTGTGTAATTTCCCCATTTTGTCTTTTGTAACGTTACAGTGAAATAAATCATGTTGTTGGATTTGTCCAAGACTGATCACCTTATATGAGAAATGTTAATGGTTTCATTCTTATGTAAATTTTTTGCGTTCAAAATGTGAGTGAGGATAGTCACTGCCATTTCCTTTTAAATAACGTTTCAGCAAAAAATTTCATTGGTGGGTGAGAAAAAGAAAACGAATAACGTTTTAGCAAAAAAATTTCATTCCATTTTAACTAGAAAAACATATGTCCCTTATTGAAAGTTTTACTAATAAAAAGGATTTGATAAAGTTTTACACACAGAAAGTACCCGAGTCTGAAAATTTTGTTCTATCATTTTATAATATCAATAGGCAATTGATTTTTCTTAATTCTAACCTTAGTAAGTAATATAAAATATAGAGTAAATCTTATATTTAGAACCGAAAGTAAAGTATGTGGTGTTCAAACAGAGTGTTTTTTTCTTTTCGGTTACCAGCATCCATCATCTCTTCCCCCAAGCTTTATCAAATTATGGTATGTTATGCCCTACAAAGCCATGTAACTTGTAAATAATTAGAAAATTTTCTCCCGTGCGATGCACAAACCAGAGTATTTGATTAGATTTTAACTTGTAATAAATTACTTTATTTAAGATAGCTCAAATTCTATCATTTTATAATATCAGTAGGCAATTGATTTTTGGAACAATGATAAAAAAAAAAGCTGGAATTTTGTAAATGTCAAATATGGAATGTTAACAAAAATTTGTTGTCATTTGTAAATTCAGACTTGTCAATACCAAATAAAGTTGTGTTACCAAATCTGATTTGGGATTTATAATTTTCAGCTTCGTTTTCTATTATTCTCCCTTGATTTTTTTAAATTTTACCCTTAGTAAGTACTACAAAATACAAATGAATATTATATTTAGTAGGGGTGTGCATGGGCAAGACTGGGCAGGGCAGGACCCCTACCCGATGCACAGCCCAAAAGATATACGGGCTATAAAATGCAGCTTACTGCCCGGTCCTACCTAGTAGAAGCCCTAGACATTTTGGGTAGGGCTAATGCGGGTTGGGTAGGGCGGGCTTTTCTTGCCCAAGGTTATAATTTAAGTTTGAAATTTAAAATACTATCATATGTTTTAACTAATATCTATACTCCAAGAATTAAACAATATCCTTATTTTTTAAAAAAAACAAGACAATAATAAAAATTATAATTAAAGCTTTAAAGTTCAAATGATTTGCATTAATCTCCACAATACAAGCTACATTAACATATTCAATTATATTATTAACTTATGATTCAATATAATCTATAGTATTTTATATGTCACATTCAAATTAGTATAATTTCATGATATATGAAGTAATATCAACATAAAAAAGTTAAAAGACAATTATAGTACACAGCAAAGTAATTTAGAAAAGTTAAAAAAAGTGGTATTTCTAAAATAACTAAAACTTTAAAAATGTAGAGTCTCATAGAGCAATTTCCTTTGTATTAAAATATAATATCTTAATATTACACTATATTTATTATAATTTTGACAAAAAATACATATTATAATATAAATAATCACAAACACATATTTTTTTTCGGACAGGGCTAAATGGGCAGGGCCACATGCCGTGCCTGTGGCCTGGCCCTCCCCGTGATTAACCTTGCCTAAAAATGTCCATTTTTTCTTTGTGCCACTTTTTTTTGGGTTGGGTTGAGCATTTTTTTGACGGGCACGGGCGGGCATACCAGGCTATTAGGCATCATGAATACCCCTAATATTTAGAACTAAAAGCATATGGTATTCAAACATAGTGTTTTTTCTTTTTGGTCACCAGCGTCCATCACCTCTTTCCCCAAGCTTTATCAAATTATGGTACATTATGCACTACAGAGTCACGTAACTTGTAAATAATATTACTTCTGATCTTAATTATAAGACCATATTTATAGACTACACACGGGATTTTATAATTATGACTGGAAGTAGTATTACTTTCGATATCTTTTATATTTATATCAAGTGATAATAAAATATATTGACGATGGAATTAAAACATATGAATTCCGAGCACCATTTAAACTTGGGAGATAAGGAATAAAGATAACAATGATAGGTTATGAATGGCAGCAGAACCAGATGCCTTATAAATAATATAATTTTTTTCTTTAGTTGTGTATCTTCCATTTAATCACACCACCACTTGCTCTTCATCTTTCAAAACTTGTTCTTACGGAATATATTCCTTTATCTTTTTTCCCTCCATATTCTTCTAAATTCCCTACACACACGCACAATTAATATACAAAAATATATTCCATTGATATATATATATATATATATATATATTTGTGTGTGTGACGCATGCTTGAACTTGTCAAATTTGAGAATAATTACTTTCTCGAACATGTACGTTTTCATGAGGCTAGAAATCCATTATACACAAGATCAAGGTGTTTATCCCATCAATTAATTAATTAATATAAAAAAAATACAGCATGCACTTGAACTTTTTTTTTCCCCTTGTACATCCTTCAGTAATCAGAATTCATCATTAACTAAATTTATTATTTTTTCATATTCAAATGAGTGAAAAATCTCACTTAACTGTTCTCCGGTGAACATATATGGGGGAGAGACAAAGAAATCACAAAATAAAACAAAAGAGTAAATTATACAATTTTTTTACAAATTTTGTTGACATTAGTATATTCGTTCTTGATTCTTAAAATCTACATATTAAAAATAGAAAAGATGTCTATGTAATTTTATTAAAATTTAATAGAGGTGTCTTGCAAAAAAAAAAAAAACTAAGCGTGGTGTAATTTACTATTCATTTTCAATGACATCTTGATTTGAAAATAGATAAAATCCATAGAATTTAGTTTTGTTCCTTTTTGTTCACTTTGATTTCAAGGACTCGTGCACATATAATGAGTGCGATGTGGAATTGTGAGCCTATGTTGTGTGCATAGAAATACTGAAATAATGGGGGATTGTAATTCTACACCATCACCGCCGCCGTCACCCCTACCACCACCACCATCACCACCACCTGATGATTTGCAGAAATTCTGGATGAACGAGAAGTTGAATTGCAACTGTTTGATGTTGTATGCAAGGGCACTTTCAATCACTGGGGGAGAAGATAATCGCTATTGGAAATGGATACAACACCAAGAATCAAGGTACACACAATTCACAAACAAGCATACTTCTCTCTCCCACAGGCACAATTTAAAACAGGATTAAAATACAAATTTGTTTTGAGAGTTGAGTCAGAAACTTTGGCCAACTAAAAAAATTTTTGAATGCAAATTTGACCTGAAATTTTAAAATATTAACAATATTGTCTTCTACCGTTAAAAATATTAACGATCAATGTTATTATTTTAATTTTTAACCGTCAATGCTAATTTTTTAACACTAGAGGACAAGAAGTGTTTTAAGGAAAAAAGCACCCCAACCCTTTTAAATATATGCACCAACTATATAGTATGAATAAACCCTGATTTACTTGGCAAAAGGGGGGCAAAAAAAAGAAGCCCTGATTTAAGTAATGAGAACAATGAGGTGTGGTGTTGCAGTGGGACAATGATAGAGGCAGCTGAACTGGAAAGAATGTGTAGGCTGGAAGTGCATGGGAGGTTAGACACAAGGAAGCTGACACCAAGAGTTTTGTATGAAGTCTGCTTTCATGTGATGCTGAAAGACCCGGCAGAGGGCGGGGAGGTTCCTGTGAATGTCAGGCTTGTGCTGCCAGGAGGGAAGAAGGAAGAACACAAGGAGAATTTGATCAGCAAGATGAGAGCGCAGTGGATGGAGATCCCAGTAGGGCGATTTGTAGCACCAGCTCATGATGAAGGAGGAGAAATGGAATTCTCTCTGTATGAAATTGAAGGTGGGGCTTGGAAAAAAGGCCTTGTCATCAAAGGAGTCTCCATCGAACCTAATCCCAATGACTACAGAATTTCTCTGGATTAAGGCAAATCATGCACTATGACTGGTCATCTGGTACTGATCATGGAGTTTTATTATATATTGAGATACTTGTGGAATAATATAAAAGTCTCTACGACAAAGTAGATTGCAGCATGGCTCACAAAATTAGTGTTGGGGTTCTAATTTGACTGGATAAACGCTGATTCAATACAGTGAATCTGTGCAGAGATTTTACGGAACTCAAATTTCGGTAGATCTCACAAATATTTGCTTTCGGAGCAGAAGTATGTTCATTCAGGCATAATAGTAATTACCAATTTTACAGAAATGCTTGAAGGTTTGTAAATATGAGAGAAACAAGAAAAAGAAAAGAAAACTGATCTATGACTTTTATTTGGTTGATGTTCATATTGTGGCGGCGTCTCTATAGGAAAAAGCAATTTGTCGGTGCTTTAAAACACCTGCTCTGTATCCATCAGGGTTATACCACAATGAAAAATCAATCCCTTTGCTTGTTAATTTCTCTGTGGCAGCTCCAATTCTTTCCATCAAGGCAAGAAACAAATAAAATAAAATGATAATCATAAAAGAAAAGGATGTCAACGTGTAAGAATTCTGGCTAAATTATGATGATCAATCTCAACGAACCTTGAGTAATTCATTCATTTTGCTCAACACAGAAAGTACCCAAAGTCTGAACATTTTGTTCTATCATTTTATAATATCAATAGGCAATTGACTTTTCTTAATTCTATCCTTACTAGGTAATACAAAATACAAAGGGAATTTTATATTTAGAATTGGAAGTACGTAATATAGTGTTTTTTTCTTTTTGGTTACCAGTATCCATCACCTCTTCCCTCAAGTTTTATCAAATTATGGTACATTATGCCCCATAAAGTCACGTAACTTGTAAATAATTAGAAAACAAGAATATTTGATTAGATTTTAAATTCTAATAAATTACATTATTTAAGATAGCTGAAAGTCATTTTTTATAGGAATATTATTATTATTTATTTATTCAAATGAGATTTAAATTAGAGATGCGGAATTTGGAGTGAACATGTGAAATTCAATATTAATCAATTATTTTTCTCTTTTAACCTCCAATTGACATGCTATTTAATAATGATTCTTTGTATTTAATTTAATATATTCAAATTTCAATTAAGATATTATTCAAATTCAAAATTAATCATTAATTTCTTCATTTGAGCCTCCAATTGAAATCTTATTTAATAATGATGCTTCCCATTTAATTCAATATGCCCAAATCTCAATCAAAATATTATTCAAATCTAATTGATTGGATATATTTGGATTTCATAATGTCATATGTGACTCATTTAAAATGAATCGGCCATTGCAAGTTTTCAAGAATATAGTTGATTGATACTGTTCTAATTATAAGATTTCGTTTATAAACTACAAGTGAGGTTTTATAATTAGGACCGGAACTAGTATTACTTTCTATATCTTTTATATTTTATATCAAGTGATAATAAAATATATTGGCAATGGAATTAAAACTTTTGAATTCAGAGCACCTTTTAAACTTGGGAGATAAGGAATAAAGATAACAATGATAGGTTATGAATGGCAGCAGAACCAGATGCCTTATAAATAATACTCCTCTTATCCTTAATATAAAACCCATTTAACTAATTTGATTAGATTAATAAAGTTAGATAAGTTAGTTAATTATAAAAAAAGTGAAACATTTTTCTTAAAATATCGTAATCATCTTTCTTAATACTCCATCTCCCTCTTCTACTTGATTATAGATGAGAGAGTATTTATAGGAGTAATTTAGAAAAAATTGATAAATATGAGAAATGGGTCTTATATTTAAGACCAAAACCAACTTAAGAATCAGGTTCTATATTAAAGAGCGGAGGAGTATAATTTTATTTCTTTAGTTGTGCATCTCCCATTTAATCACACCACCACTTGCTCTTCATCTTTCAAAACTTTTTCTTACGGAATATATTCCTTTATCTTTTTTTCCCCATATTCTTCTAAATAAATTCCCTACACATACACAATTAATATATAAAAATATATTCCATTCGTATATATATATACTTCTCTGGTCTTTGACATAAGACCTATTTAGCTAATTTGATTATATTAATGAAGTTAGGTAAGTTAGTTAATTATAAGAAATGTGATACGTTTTTTCTAAAATACCATAATCATCTTTCTTAATATCTCATCTTCCTTTTCTACTTGATTATGGACATGGTTGAGGGAGTATCCATAGGGTAATTTAGAGAAAATTGATAAATATAATAAATAGGTTTTATATTTAGGACCAAAACTAACTCAATAATTGAGTCATATATTAAGTATCGGAGGTATATATATATGTGTGTATGATGGATGCGTGAACTTATCAAATTTGAGAATAATCACTTTCTCGAACATGTACGTCTTCATGAGGCTAGATATCCATTGTACACAAGATCAAGGTGTTTATCCCATTAATTAATTAATTAATATAAAAAAAATACAGCATGCACTTGAACTTTTTTTTCCTTGTACATCCTTCAGTAATCAGAATTCATCATTAACTAAATTTATTATTCTTTTAGATCCAAATGAGTGAAAAATCTCACTTAACCGTTTTCTCGTGCACATATATGGGGGAGAGACAAAGAAATCACAAAATAAAACAAAAGAGTAAATTATACATTTTTTTTAATAAATTTTGTTGACATTAGTATATTCGTTCTTGATTCTTAAAATCTACATATTAAAAATAGAAAAGATGTCTTTGCAATTTTATTATAATTTAATAGAGGTGTCTTGCAAAAAAAATTTAAGCATGATGTAATTTACTATTCATTTTCAACGACATCTTGATTTTAAAATAAATAAAATCCATAGAATTTAGTTTTGTTTTTTTTAATGTAAAAATTTTGTAAATTAGATCCGTTTAGTTCACTTCGATTTCAAGGACTTGCGCATATATGAGGAGTGCGATATGGAATTGTGAGCCTATATTTTACGCATAGAAAAACTGCAATAATGGGGAATATGTTTGGTTCATCATCACCACCACGGTCACGGCCAACGCCGCCGCCCCCACCGCCCCCACCGCCTCCGCCTCCGCCTCCGCCGCCGCCGCCCCCACCACCCCACCCCACCCCCCCACCAGCCGCCGCCCCGCCTCCACCCCCGCCCCCGCCCCCTCCCCCGCCCCCGCCATCGCCACCGCCACCGCCGCCGCCGCCTCCACCGCTGTCGTCGCCGCCATCGCCACCAAAAAAACCCTCAGAAATAGAGAACAAAAGAGATGGGAAAGAAGGTCATCATCCAAACTCAAAGCCACTTGAACCTGTGAGTCTCTTTAGCACTTGAATGTTTGGTTAATTTCACCCAAAAAACAACTTATTACGCTGACACACACAAACATGATGATTTGCAGAAGTTCTGGATAAGCAAGAAGTTGAATTGCAACTGTTTCATGCTGTATGCAAGGGCACTTTCAATCAGTGGGGGAGAAGATAATCGCTATTGGAAATGGATACAACTCCCAGAATCAAGGTACACACAATTCACAAACAAGCATACTTCTCTCTCCCACAGGCACAATTTAAAACAGGATTAAAATACAAATTTGTTTTGAGAGTTGAGTCAGAAACTTTGGCCAACTAAAAAAATTTTTGAATGCAAATTTGACCTGAAAATTTAAAATATTAATAATATTGTCTTCTACCGTTAAAAATATTAACGATCAATGTCATTATTTTAATTTTTAACCGTCAATGCTAATTTTTTAACACTGGAGGCAACATTACTGAGAAATGTTTTAAGGGAAAAAGCACCCTGACCCTTTTAAATATATGCACCAACTATATAGTATAAATAAACCCTGATTTAGTTGGCAGAGGAAAAAGCCCTGATTGAAGTAATGAGAGCAATGAGGTGTGGTGTTGCAGTGGGACAATGATAGAGGCAGCTGAACTGGAAAGAATGTGTAGGCTGGAAGTGCATGGGAGGTTAGACACAAGGAAGCTGACACCAAGAGTTTTGTATGAAGTTTGCTTTGATGTGATGCTGAAAAACCCGGCAGAGGGCGGGGAGGTTCCTGTGAATGTCAGGCTTGTGCTGCCAGGAGGGAAGAAGGAAGAACATAGGGAGAATTTGATTAGCAAGATGAGAGCGCAGTGGATGGAGATCCTAGTCGGGCGATTTGTAGCACCAGCTCATGATGAAGGTGGAGAAATGGAATTCTCTCTGTATGAAATTGAAGGTGGGGCTTGGAAACAAGGCCTTGTCATCAAAGGAGTCTCCATCAAACCTAATCCCAATGACTACAGAATTTCTCTGGATTGATGCAAATCATGCACTATGACAGGTCATCTGGTACTGTTCTAGAGTATAATAAAACTAATCGTAGAGTTTTATGTACTAGTTTCAGCTTATATATAATCTGGTACTGTTCTAGAGTATAATAAAACTGATCGTAGAGTTTTATGTACTAGTTTCAGCTTATATATATATATTGAGATGCTTATGGAATACTACCTCCGATCCTAATTATAAGAGCCAGTTGACTAGTTTAAAAAGATTAAGAAAATAAGTTGAGTTAGTTATTTGTCATAAGTAGGTGTTGTCTTTCCTAAAATATCATTGCTAATCAAGTGTATTGACTAGAACTATCATTGTTAAAAGAGCTACTTTGGAAAAAAAAAATGTATAAATATGAGAGACAAAATAGATTGGGGTCTTATATTTAGGTCTAAAATAAAAGTCAAACAGGATCTTATATTAAGGACCGGGAGTAACAGTTTAGAACAAAGTGGATTGCAGCATGGCTCACAAAATTAGTGTTGTGATTCTAATTTGGCTAGATAAACCCTGATTCAATACAGTACATCTGTGCAGAGATTCTATGAAACTCCAATTTCAGTAGATCTCATAAGTATTTTCTTTTGGAGCAGAAGTATGTTCATTCTGGCATACTAGTAACTACTAATTTTACAGAAATGCTGGAAGGTTTGTAAATATGAAAGAAACAAGAAGAAGAAAAGAAAAATGATCTATGACTTTTATTCGATTATTGTTCAGATTGTGGCAGCGTCTCCATAGGAAAAAGCAATTTGTCGGTGCTTTAAACTTCTGCTATATATCCATCAGGTTTATACCACAATGAAAAATCAGTCCTTTGCTTATTAATTTCTTTGTGGCAGGTCCAATTCTATCCAGCAGCTGAACTCATCAAGGCAAAAATAAAATGATAATCATAGAAAAGGATGTCAACATGTAAGAATTGTGGCTAAATTATGATGATCCATCTCAACGAACCTTGAGTAATTCATCATTTTGCTCAACACAGAAAGTACCCGAAGTCTGAAAATTTTGTTCTATCATTTTATAATATCAATAGGCAATTGATTTTTCTTAATTCTACCCTTAGTAAGTAATACAAAATACAAAGTGAATTTTATATGTAGAATTGGAAGTATGTAATATAGTGTTTTTGTCTTTTTGGTTACCAGTATCCATCATCTCTTCCCCCAAGCTTTATCAAATTATGATACATTATGCCCTACAAAATCACGTGACTTATAAATAATTAGAAATTTTCCCCATGCGATGTGTTGACCAGGGTATTTGATTAGATTTAAAATTCTAATAAATTACATTATTTAAGATAGCTGAAGGTCATTTTTTATAAGAATATTATTATTTTTATTCATTTAAATGGGATTTAAATTAAAGGTGCGGAATTTAGGGTGAACATGTGAAAATTCAAAATTAATTAATTATTTTTTGATTTAAGCCCCTAATTGACATACTATTTAATAATGATACTTTCTATTTAATTTAATATATTCAAATTTCAATTAAGATATTGTTCAAATTCAAATTCAAATTCAAAATTAATTATTAATTATTTCTTTTGAGTCTCCAATTAAAATCTCATTTAATAATGATGCTCTCCATTTAATTCAATATATCCAAATCTCAATCAAATATTATTCTCAAATCTAATTAATTGAATATATTTGGATCTCATAATGTCATACCCGACTCATTTTAAAATGAATAGAACATTGCAAGTTTTCAAAAATATAGTTGATTGATACTGTTCTAATTATAAGACCTCGTTTTTAAATTATAAATGAGGTTTTATAATTAGAACCGAAAGTAGTACTCCCTTCGTCCCATTTTATAAGCAACAACTGCTATCTCCCTCTTCTCCCTAAATATAAGCAACATTTGCAAGTTGTCTTAAATTTTTGCAGCAAATTTTCTATTTTACCCCTATTAATTACTTATTCATACTCAATCTATTTATTATCTCATTTTTCAAAATATCATCTTTCCAGCACACATTCTTTGTCTTACATAATTCTTTTTATTATAATAATTTTCTTATTATCTCTTTTATATTTTCTCCCCCTGTAAATAAGGACATTTTAGTGAAAGAACTTCTAATTTTTACACATTTATTGTCTTTAACAAATTTTAACTAACATTTTGATATATGTGATGAACTCCTGTTTATAATATGGGACGGAGGGAGTATTACTTTCTATAACTTTTATATTTTATATCAAGTGATAATAAAATATATCGACGATGGAATTAAAACTTATGAATTCTGAGCATCATTTAAACTCGGGAGATAAGGAATAAAGAGAACAATAATAGGTTATGAATGGCAGTAGAACCAGATGCTTTATAAATAATACTCCTCCGGTCCTTATTATAAGACCCCATTTGACTTTTTATTTGGTTCTAATTATAAGACCCCAATTCATTTTGTCTCTTATATTTATGCATTTTTTTCCAAGATAATCCTTCTAATAATGATAGTTTTAGCCAATATACTTAATTAGCAAGGATATTTTAGGAATGACAACACTTATTTGTTATAAATAACCAACTTAACTTACTTCCTTAATCTCCTCAAATAAGTCAATTAGGTCTTATAATTAGGACCGGAGGAGTATAATTTTATTTCTTTAGTTGCGTATCTCCCATTTAGTCACACCACCATTTAGCCACCTGAACGATTACCACCACCACCACCTTACTTTGAATGAAATTGAAGGTGGGGCTTGGAAACAAGGCCTTGTCATCAAAGGAGTCTCCATCAAACCTAATCCCAATGACTACAGAATTTCTCTGGATTGATGCAAATCACGCACTTTGACAGGTCATCTGGTACTGCTCTAGAGTATAATAAAACTGATCGTAGAGTTTTATGTACCAGTTTCAGCTTACATGTATGTGTGTGTGTGTGTCGAGATGCTTATGGAATAGTACAGAACAAAGTGGATTGCAGCATGGCTCACAAAATTAGTGTTGTGATTCTAATTTGGCCAGATAAACCCTGATTCAATACAGTACACCTGTGCAGAGATTTTATGAAACTCAAATTTCAGCAGATCTCACAAAATTTTTCTTTTGGAGCGGAAGTATGTTCATTCAGGCGTACTGTAATTACTAATTTTACAGAAATGCTGGACGGTTTGTAAATATGAAAGAAACAAGAAGAAGAAAAGAAAAAATAGAACAAAGTCACGTAAATTGCAAATTATTAGAAAATTTTTGCCCATGCGATGCACAGACCAGAGCATTTGATTAGATATTAAATTCTAATAAATTACATTATTTTAGATAGCTGAAAGTCATTTTTTATAGGAATATTATTATTATTTATTTATTCAAATGAGATTTAAATCAGAGGTGTGGAATTTAGGGTGAACATGTGAAAATTCAAAATTCAAAATTCAAAATTAATTAATTATTTTTCTATTTAAGCCTCCAATTAACATATTATTAAATAATGATGCTTTCCATTTAATTCAATATATTCAAATTTCAATTAAAATATTATTCAAATTTAAAATTAATCATCAATTCCTTCATTTGAGCCTCTAATTGAAATCTCATTTAATAATGATGCTATCCATTTAATTCAATATATCCAAATCTCGATCAAAATATTATTCAAATCTAATTAATTAGATATATTTGGATCTCATAATGTCATACCCGACTCATTTTAAAATGAATCGGGTATTGCAAGTTTTCAAGCATATAGTTGATTGATATTAATCTAATTATAAGATCTCGTTTGTAAACTACAAATGAGGTTTTATAATTAGAACTGAAAGTAATATTACTTTCTATATCTTTTATATTTTATATCAAGTGATAATAAAATATATTCACGATGGAATTAAAACTTTTGAATTCAGAGCACCTTTTAAACTTGGGAGATAAGGAATAAAGAAAACAATGATAGGTTATGAATGGCAGCAGAACCAGATGCCTTATAAATAATAATCATATAATTCTATTTCTTTAGTTGTGTACCTCCCATTTAATCACACCACCACTTGCTCTTCATCTTGCAAAACTTTTTCTTACGGAATATATTCCCTTATCTTTTTTTCCTCCATATTCTTCTAAATAAATTCCCTACACACACACAATTAATATATAAAAATATACTACCTCTTGTCTTAATTATAAGAGCTAGTTGACCAATTTGAAGAGATTAAGGAAAGAAGTTAAGTTAGTTATTTGTCATAAATAGGTGTTATCTTTCTTAAAATATCCTTACTAATCAAGTGTATTAGCTAAAACCAAGGTTGTCAAACTTGCGAGTTTAAACAAATTCGTGAGAATGATATAAACTCGGATCGTAAACTCGAATCGTAAGAATTTACTTTTATTAATAAACTAGTATTAAAAATATATAATCAAATAATTAATATATAAAAAAATGAGAACAGTTTCATTTAAATATATTTTAAATTTAAATAATTGAAATTATATCCATCAATGTTTATAATTTATCACATTCAACCAAAAAATTTCTATAAAATTCATACATAAAGTCACTAAATATAATCAAATTCAAAAATTTAGTACGAGTTTAAGAGCGAGTTAACATGATTTTGTAAGTTTAAAACGTAAAAACAACAAACTCGATAAGTGAACTCATAAGTTTAATCAAATTTACAGTTATCACGAGTTTAAGAGTGAATTGATACAATTTTGTTGGCTGAAAACGTAAAAATATTAAACTCAAAAAGTCAACTAGCGAGTTTCATAATAGTGGCTAAAACTACCATTATTATAGGATTATTTTTGAAAAAATACATAAATATTAAAGACAAGGTGGAATTGGGTCTTATATTTTGGACCAAAATAAAAGTCAAACGAGATCCTATAAATATTAAAGACAAGGTGGAATTGGGTCTTATATTTAGGACCAAAATAAAAGTCAAACGAGATCGTATATTAAGAACCAAAGGTAATATTCCATTAATATATATATATCTATGTATGTATGTATGATGCATGCTTGAACTTAATCAAATTTAAGAATAATCACTTTCTCGAACATGTACGTTTTCACGAGGCTAGAAATCCATTATACACAAGATCAAGGTGTTTATCCT